CCCCCCCACCCCCCTGCAGACAAAGAGGTGGCTTGGCCTGCAGGTGACACGACCACTGCTACTCGGGGCCAAAAACACACCAGGAAGAGGGCCCTGTTCCAGCAAAACCCAGGGAACTTTCCCGTTTGTTTTCCATGTTGCTTTGTGTTACTAAACCCCCCAGTTTTCAAAAAGGACGAAAGGGAACACGGACACGTTCAACTGCAAAAGCGATGCCCCACTTTCGGTCTGACGGCTGGCCCCGCCCACTATCAGACTTGTGGCCTCGCGCTGTCCTTTATGGCTTCCTGCCTCTGTGACTTGAAGGCTCCACCTGAGTTTTCACTTCCTTGACACATTTCACTCATCGGCGCGTTGGTCAAGGCCCAAGGTGCTCATTCAGAGCTTGCTTCCTTTATTTTCTTCTCAAACGAAGGTTACCAGGACGAGTCTTTCCAAACCGATTTCCCTATTACCTGGGGCTTTGTAGTTTCTCAGGGCTTTGAGGGATCTCAACACCATTTTCTCCACGTCTCGCGTTCCCTTGGTTACTTCGACTGCCACGTTCTTCCTCTTTGTCGGCACCCTGTTAACTCCCTTCCTGACCATACGCTCTGGCGTCTGCTTCTGTGTCCACTAGTAAATATTTTAAGCTGGTCCCCCAAATGTGAAGATCCTGGCCACCCTCAAAAATCCCTTCCAATAGACACTAGCCCTCCTCTGTGTAGATAATAGCTTTCCCACCTACGTGCGTGCCATCTGTCCCCCTAACGCTTCTGACACAAAAATCCTTTTAACTCTTTCAATTACTTAAGGGTTTTTATCATTTATCATCTTGTTGTGAATGTGGAAAAAAAAAAAAGAACCGAGGAAATTCCCAGGTAGACCTCAACTTCTAAAAAAGTCTCTATTTCATTTACATACCTTTCTCAAAAATTCAAGGCAGGGCCACGGGGTGGTGTTTCCTCCCCTCCTTTGTAAGCAACATGGAGTCCCCTTTATTTTGGAGAAATTATTCTACCTTGGTGAATTTTTATTTATTTATTTTTTCAGTATTTATTTTGAGAGAGGGAGGGATAGAGAGCGAGCAGGGGAGGGGCAGAGAGCGAAAGGGGGAGAGAGAATCCCAAGCAGGCTCCGCACCGTCAGCACGGGGCCCGTTGCCGCGCTTGAACCCATGAACCATGAGATCATGACCTGAGCTGAAACCAAGAGTCGGATGCTCAACCGACTGGGCCACCCAGGCGCCCCTGGTGAATTTTTAAAATAGCTTAAGTTCTGAAACAGAGAGCAGAACGTCATCCTTAGGCACGCGTAAGTATGTACGTACACACATGTGCGCGCACACGTACACACACACGCACGCACAGAATCAAGCTTCTGGACGATAAACCCATTCTTCTCAATCCCAGCAACCAGCTGCTTGGAATTAATTCCCACTTTGGAATCCCGGGCCCGGGCATGTGCCATCGTTCCGACCAAGTTTTACTATGGAAAATCTATTTTTGACAGGTTTATTTTGTTGGGTTTATTTTGCAATGGAACTTAAGAGTCTCTCTCTAGGGGCGCCTGGGTGGCTCAGTCGGTTAAGCGTCCGACTCCGGCGGCTCGGGTCATGATCTCACGGTTCGTGGGTTCGAGCCCCGTGTCGGGCTCTGTGCTGACGGCTCAGAGCCTGGAGCCTGTTTCGGTTTCTGTGTCTCCCTCTCTCCCTGCCCCTCCCCCACTCGTGCTCTGCCTCAAAAATAAATAAACATTAAAAAAAATTTTTTTTAAAAAAGCATCTCTCTCTAAAACTAGAGTCGGGTCAGTTACTCATGATTATGAATACATTTAAAAAAATACGTTTAAACGTGCTTTCAAAAACTTATCTGGAGTAACCGGTTAAGTAGCTAGAAATTTTAAGAGGGTATCTCCCCGTCTAAGGCTAAATGAAGATCAGAAGCGTCCTTATTTCTATCTCTGTGTAAGTCAGTCTAAAAATAGCGACTATTATCTTAAAGAGATACTTCCTTCCCAAACCAGACCATACGCTGTATCTTGCAATTCAATTAAAGTTCTCGTTCTAAGAATACAAGCCAGCGCATCTTATAGCGACATGACCGTAGGGCAGAAGTTCAGAGGATTTTTTTTTTTTATGAGTCAGTCACAGAATTTAGAGAAAATATTCTAAAAAAGTCCAGCATGACCACAAGTGCCTGAGGCTGTAAATCGCAGCCATCTTTGAATAAGGGTCTGAACCACTTTCACTGTCAATCAGAAAGGCTGAATTTAAACTTGAGAATTTCCTTGGCCAACCCTCGGGAATCTCCCCAAATGAATCTGCACAGGCCTGCGTGTGTATGCTCAAGCATGACTTCACAGCTCGGTGGTTTCTCCACACAGCCCCTTCTACTGTCCTATGGAAACACAGCTGGATTGCCTCAAAGGTCAGAGGTGGAGTTTCTAAATAAAGAAGACAATATTTTAGAAACCGAACTGCCCTCGGAGGCTTCGAAATCCTAATGGGTTTAGAGATAAAAATACTGTAATCCATTTAGTTAGTTAAATTTAGACGATTCGCACTGGCCAAAATGTGCAGCCATTTGCTGTCCAGTGCAGTGTTAATTTCTCTCCCTTAATATTTCAGATATTGAGGGACAGAACAACACTGCTGGCTGAGTCCCCGTTGTCACGAGCAGAGAATACAGGGTGTATTAAGAAACTTGTTCGCTTTCAGGTGGGGAACATGGTTGATCTGCTTAACAAATGATATCTTCTGTCTTTTACCAGCTGCTCGTGGCTTCTGACCTTTTCACAAAGACGGGCAAATACGCACTCGTTCCGTTTATATATTTATTGTTAACAAGCAGAGAGACTGGTTCCTTTTTTGAGCAACAGTTAAATGACCTCAGACCTCCCAGATCGACAGGCAATGCTTCTCCTTAAGTGAGAAACCATTTACTGCAGCGGTGCTCAGAGGTTTGGGGAAGCCGTCTTCTCCTTTGTTAAAAGCGTGTAATAGAAGGCCCACCCTTTCCTAACCCCAAATCTGGGAACGGCAAAGAGGAATATTTGGCATTTGCCACTGGGAGCTCAAACGACAGTAGGTGTTCTCCAGAGCACCTGCGCTTGTGATGTTTATTTCATTATTTTATTCATTTATTTATTCTTAGAGATTTTTTTCTTTTTAATGTTTTTTATTTATCTTGAGAGAGAGAAGGAGCATGAGTCGGGGAGGGGCAGGGAGAGACGGAGAGAGAGGATCTCTAGCGGGGCTCGATTTCACACGAGATCGTGACCTGAGCCGAAATCAAAACTTGGGACGCTGGGGGCGCCTGGATGGCTCAGTCGGTCGGGGCCACC